GCTTTAAAGAAATTTAGGGTTAAAAAAATATTATATTTACCAATTGAGAAGATAAAAGATTGCAAAAAATTAGAAAAATTAAAAATTGTAAGATTTGATTTTATTAAAAAAATAACAAGATATTATTTAATTAAAAGATATCATTTCATTAAAAAATAATAATATTTCTAAAAAAAACAAGATATTATATATTAAAAATAAAATAAAATATTATTTATTGAAAAATATGAGCCGATCTAAAAGCTTAGAGGTCAGGCCAACTTAAATAGGCTTGTGGCTTAATTTTTAAACAAATGTTTTAAAGAGTTCAAGTTTGAACTATTTTTAAAATGAGCAAAGCTGATTTAGCTCAAAGGCAGATCAAACTGTAGGCCCTAATAAATAGCTATCTTGTTTTTTTTTTTTTTGATAACAATAGCTATCTTGTCTACGTCGCTACTATCAAGTGTGTGCAGAAAATAATGTTATCTCCTGTTTATAGAAAAAAAAACATAAATTTCTATTTTTCTCTCTCTACATATATTTGGATGTAACTTTTTTAAAAAATAAAAATAAAAGTCAGAAAAAAGTTAATATTATATTGTTAGCGTAATTTTCTAACCTTTGAAGAAAAATAAATATTACATTTTACTCAAAAATATTTTTTAAATTTTAATCCAAATACAACATAATTATCATTTTTGAAAAGGATCCTTCTAAAAAACGATGATAAAAAGTATTTTTTGAAGCCCATAACTTAATTAAAAAAAAAAACCATTCCCATTTACCAAAAAAAAAAAAACATTCCCGTTTGTGTGCATACTTCTACATCTTACCGTTAAACCACTCGATTGAAACATAGTTGTAATGGTTTTTATATGTCGTGAACGGTCAATACTCCCAACTTAGTTATTATTAGTAGGTTCGCATGTAATTTACACATTACAAGTATGAAATCATGAAAGACATTATGAATAATACAATATTGTTGTATACTCGTTTTCAATTTGACTAAGCTAAAATAAAATATATATTTTAACGCTTCAACTGTAGCATGGAGATTTGTGTCTGTCATTTTAAATTTCAATACGGCTACATCTGTTTCCCTGTAAATAATAAAATTACTCTATGTGTTAAAGTTGAAATGACGAAGATTCAATTTAATATGAATCCGGTGTTGAAATTTGTAGTTATAGAGCATATATGACCCTTAATCTTGTTTACAAACACTGTAGCCAGAAATGAGAAGAGTGGAAAATTAGGGGAGAATGAGAAGTTTTGAAAAAAGGGGAAGATAGAAAACTAAGAAAAGGGAAAAAAAAAATATAGGAGATGAGGGTAGAAAAACTATAACTAGGAGGAAAATTGTAATTGCTTAATTCATTGCTTGCTCTTGTGATTAATGTACTATATATTTATAATATCGCGCTACAAGAATTTTTTTTATTAGTGACGTAATTTTATGAAATTTCGTCACAAATTCCTGCGTCGCAAGTTTATTTGTGATGAAATTTGATTATTTGTGTCAAAAATTATCATTTGTGATAAAATTTATGGCGAAATTTTTTGTCACAAATAAAATTTTTTCTTGTATATCTTCTAATAGATAAAGTAAATTACTTAATACTATAATTTGAAATAAAATAACTAATATTACTAATGAGATAAGATAAACCAAATATAAAACTAATATAAAATAGATATAATTTGAATTATAAATGACAGTTGTTGTTAGCATTGTCCTATGGCTCTTTGAGAGTTTTTATCCCTTTAACTTTCCATTTGTTATTTATCAACAAGGTCATTTAGTGTCGCGACCGTTCCTCGGGAACTCACTCGGGTTTGTCAAGTGGCACAATTTCATTACCGTAAAACTTTGAAAGGTCGTAACGTTTGACTCAAGTATCTAAATTAGACAAAATAAATAAATCAATTTCACACAACTTTTTGAGATCTACACAATGACACCTCATTTGACATACTTTATCTCTCACAAACATAATTCAAATTTGTAAGATGGTACCACAATCACAAGGGTGTTTGCCAAATTTTGGTGGGAAGAGGTAGAAACCCTTGATTTGTTTAGCTTCCTCAATTTCAAAATCAATTTTGTTGAGATTTTAATTAATTAAATTTTTGTCCATTAGAGTTGCAACAGACCTGTGTGAGACAATAGTTAATTTCAAAATTTGTTTTTGTGAAAAAAAGAAAACGAAAAAAAAAGTGGGAGCAAAAATAGAGAACCCTATCAGTAGGGAAAGAAGGAACAGAGCACGAATGGACAATAACATGTTGGCAATGCTTAATGCCTCTGAAGCTAAGTATTCATAATCATGCTGGCCGTGCTTGATGCCTCTAAAGCTAAAATTAGTTTTTGTGAAGAAAAGAAAACGAAGAAAAAGTGGAAGTAAAAATGAAGAACCACAGCAGTAGGGAAAGAAGGAACAGCGCAGGGATATATGATATGTTGTCCATGTTTGATGCCTCTAAAGCTAAGTATTCATAATCATTGTCTCGCACAGGTACTGCTGCAACTCTAACAGAGAAAAATTCAATTAATTAAAATCTCAACAAAATTGATTTTCAAATTGAGAAAGCTAAACAAACCAAGGTTTCTATTTCTTCCCACCAAAATTTGGCAAACACCCTTGTGATTGTGGTATCATTGTTACAAATTCGAACTATGTCTGTGAGAGATAAAATGTGTCAAATGAAGTGTAATTGTGTAGATTTCGAAAAGTTATATATAAAAAAAGGGAAAAACATCTATCCTTTTAAAGGATATAAGCTTATATCATTTTAGATCATAACCGTTGATTTCCGTCCATCAACGGTTATAATCTATTGGGTCAAACTTAATGGGCCAAATTTATTATTAATTAATAATTTTGATCCAATAAATTATAACCGTTGATGAACGAAAATCAATGGTTAGGATCTAAAATGATATAAGCTTGTATCCTTTAAAATGACAGATGTTATTCCCATAAAAAAATATTTCATTTAGATATCCGAGTTGAAAGTTATGGTTTTACGAAATTTTACTGTAACAAGATTATCTAAGATAACGAGATTGTGCCACTTGACACAATCGTGTGAGTACCCCAGTGGCACAATCGTATGAGTACCCCAAAGGGGTCGCGACATTCAGTCTTGCTGGGACCCTATGCGGCACTAAATGATCCCTATTAATAAATACCTAGAATCAAATATCATATAGGAAAATTAAAAGGGGAAAAACCCCCTTTGATCAAATAGCCTTGACCTATTGCTTTGGAAGATGACAGGATATATATACGACTCTTTGACCAACGAGGGGATTTTGGATTTTTAATATACAAATTTTATATTTGATTCTCAATATTTATGAATAGAGATCGTTTAGTGCCGTGAGAAGGGCAACCGTATTGAGTGCTCCTTTACACTGCAAAAAATATAAGTCATTCTTAATACTAATTTTATGTGAAAAATTACTCTCATTTGATTTTCGTTGAATATAACGCGTTCGTTTTGCTCTCCTAGACCAACGAAAAAAATAATGATTTGTTTTAATTAATTGTATAAAGAAATTAGAATACTGATAATCGTCAGTATTCTAATAATTTTTTAAAAGTAACTCTGCAAAGGTATATGAAGATTCGAGCCAGGTTATATTTTATGGATATTATAGCAATTTAGCAGCTCGTGATCTCTTTTCGAGGAGTTTTTAATGTTCTATAAAGGAAAAATTTCTCCCCCTTTATGCCACTAGCTATTAGTATTGAAATGATGTTAAATTTGATGACCTCACACATTGGATTTGATCTTAGTGTCATGGTTTTTTTCTGTAATTAATTCGCGACCACGTTAAGACCTCTAAGTTCCTCTTGCTTTAAATACTTTTTGTTAATGGTATTATTAAACATGTTTATGTTCTCTTCATTTTTCAAACCTGAAAAGTTGAACTCAACCTTTTATTTTCCAACCGAGAGTAAAATTATAATAAAGAAATTTATATTAGAAATCTAACCTCATTCAATTTTCAAAAAAATTTATGCATTTGGGTGTCTCCTTCAAGCATTAGTAAACATAAAAGTTCTGCTAAATTATTTGAACCTTTTCGCTAGTTCAATCCTAATAGTCTAATTGTCTAAACCGCATCGGAGGTATACAGTAGTCAATAATCATTTGTCGAATAATTTGAACAAGCGTTAGGAACTTACGACAACAAATTGATGAATCTATGCATGCCAGCGGTTCTCTCGGTGCAATACTCAGTTTACTAAGAATGTAATGCATATATAACATAACCATGTATGTTGTTTAATAAAATTAAGATCAAATTGCGCCCATTAAGAATATTGAATCATAAGTCATTAGGATTGATCTAGTAATAAAGAATTTAAGTAATTTGTATTATGTTATATGTTCAATTTTTGTTTTTATATATATATATATAATATTGGACCGTACCAATACTTGAACTTAAAAACTACCACTAGAACCATTTTTTGTTGTTGTGAAAATCATTGAAATTTCGAGGTAACAAATTATGGCTATTAGCAAATCATGACATAGAAAAACCACTTATTTTTCATCTAAATATCTAACACGTCACACCATAATTATGTTTTTATTTCTTTGTAGCAAAACTTAATAATTCTATTAATAACATTAGCATGAAAGAAACTTTTTTTTAATCTATTTTCTAAGTACCTCCCCACCATGAACTTCCGACCTTTTTTTAGCTCCGGTAGCCTGGCAAAACTGACCACTTGATCCGGAATGAAACAAACAAATATATACGGGAAGTACCTGTTACTTTTTATAAAAGATAAACAAGGCAATTTCTCTCAGACTTCAGAGTAATCCCACTGTAGCTGAGGGAAGGTATTGCAGTCATTTTCACTTCGGATTATGAATGACAGAAAGTATTGGTCTTAATTTCAAACTATATGCCTTATTTTATTTTTTATTTCTCTTTCAGCATAATTTTGATCCAAAGCTTTCTTGCAAGTAACTGAAACAATAATTGCAGCAAAATGGCATCAACGGAGGAATCATGGAAAAACTGGTTGTGTGACTTGGTAAATTACAACATATTCGTTTTCAAATAAATACACTTGATTTTTTCACATACTTGAAGGTTTTGTGGATAAACAGTTGCTTTTCCCCCAGGAAGCAGAGGATTACAGTTTAGTCGATCAATCCGACACAAACGTTGTTGCTGGAAGTTTCCCATCTCATCATCATGAAATAGCCGCCACGCCACAAGAGGAGAACTTGCAAAGATCTTTCTCTGCCGATAGATACTGCTCTTACGCCGAAAACTCCAGCACCATGAGCAATTCCTCAGGGGATGATGATAACAACTTTGAGAGGCCTTCCAAGACTCTCAAGGTCGCCACTTCAAACTCTGCTAACACCGAGTACCTTCCACAAACAAAGGAATCTTCTCTCTCCTCCTACGTTCTTTCGTTTAACAATGTGAATCCAGCACCAATAATGAACATTGATTCGAGCTTGAAGCCAAAAGGTAAAGTTGTGAATCACGGTAAGTCTTTTCCCTCAAAGAAGGAACCTAGACGCAATATTCAGGAGGTCAAGAAGACTGGTTCGTTGGCTAGATCTCCTCACCAATCTCAAGATCACATAATTGCTGAGAGAAGGAGAAGAGAAAAGATTAGCCAGCAGTTCATAGCACTTTCAGCCCTTATTCCAGGCCTGAAAAAGGTTCAGTTTTTTTTAATCAGTGATTAACCCCAGATTACTTTCACAGCTGATTAATTGAGTGGATACATGGTACTAATTAAGGGGTGTACTCATTTGGTTGTAGATGGACAAGGCCTCTGTGCTAGGGGACGCCATAAAGCACGTGAAACAGCTTCAAGAACAGGTGAAGCTTCTTGAAGAGCAGACCAAAAGGAAAAGAGTAGAATCAGTTGTGTATGTTGAGAAATCTTGGCTCTCTGCAGATGAAGATGTCTCAGACACCTCCTCAAATTCTGGCGATGGAAACTCCTATGACCCTTCAAAAATAAATCGCTCGTTGCCAGAAGTTGAGGCAAGGGTGTCAGAGAAGAACGTGCTGATTCGAATCCACTGCGAGAAACAGAAGGGATTGTTCATGAACATACTCAAAGAGATAGAGAACCTTCGTCTATCAGTCATCAATAGTAATATCTTGCTTTTCGGGACCTCCATAGTGGACATAACCATCACAGCCGAGGTGTAGTATTGTTTCATTACATTACATGTTTGTCATTAATTATTTAATTTTACTAATTAATATGTGAAGGAGTTTGTCCATTTTGATTTTAGCATTAATGTCACATCGGCACATTTGGAATGCATTTTACATAATGTATGTTATCCTGTTGCAAATGCAGATGGATGATGAATTCAGTCTGAGCGTGAAGGAGCTGGCTAAAAACCTTCGAGTGGGACTATTGCAATTTATGTAGCTTACAGAGGTGTGTGTGGTGTCATTAGCCCTCATTTTAATGCATTACGTTATGTAGTTAATAAATGTCCATCTTCTCATAACTGAACTACTTGGAGAATAGAAAGCTTTTGTTTCGAGATGGATGGGGGATATGTATGCAGTAGGGTGGTTGAGGTCATCCACATGAATTGAAAGAGGTCAGGTCCATTATGGGAAAGTGGGATTTGACTGATCTCAAAATGCATAGCCTTGGAAATTAAGGCACGTTATCTTCTATAAATTAAAAAATCACTCCCATTAAATCTCAATTATCTAGGATACAGATGACTACAAACCTTACACACAGCGTTATTTTTATATATTTACAAAAAGACGGTTCTCTAAATTCAAATACGTAATTTTTCATTCACAGAAAAAATAGTTTTATTACTGTTTTAGGCTCGTCACCTTTATGTTATCTTCTGTAAATTGAATTAAAAAATAAATATCTACTCTTGAATTTTTGTAATTAAATTTATGATAAATTTTAAATTAAATGAAAAATATATATTTCTGGCAAAAAAAAAATATACATAGGTTAACCTATGTATATCTTTAACTGTTTTGTACTTTTGTTATCTATTTTTAATTTTGGTTGATATTATTTATGGTACCTCCAGTTCCCCATGTCCGATTTGATAAACAGATATTTGAGTTTTTCTTTGCCTCGTTGTTTGTGAAGCAAACTGGAAGAGGATTTTTTTTTTTTGTGTGTGTGTGGTAAATCACTACGTTTTCTACTTCATGTATTTTACTCGTAACAATATGTAAATTAATTTTGACGAGGGGTTATGTAATTTAGTTTTTGATAAAAATAATTATTTACGTAATTTCAAATCCAAAGTGATACTTAATCAAAATCCTTTTTAAAATAGGGCTTGCATGATTTTTGTGACATTGCAAATAAAGTTTAATTATAACCTCCTCTCAATTATCGTTCATCAGTAATCAGAATTTGAATTTTAATTTGAATGACTCAAAAATCGTGATTTGTGTCTTAAATTATAAAGTGGGTGTGGGTGGCCGAATGAATCGCCCGCCTGAAAAGAGTATTTCTATTTAATCTAAGTGAAAAAAGAAAAGGTGTTTTTATTCATAAGGTAATGAATTTTAAGGAAGATGTCCAACGGAAAAATTTCTTATTAGGGATGCATCGAATTTTTAGTATATTTTTTATTAACAAAATGATACGTGTCAAGTTATTTTTTTATCTGATTTTAAAATAAATTGTTTATTAATAATTTGATAAAAATAAAATACATATCATATTATAAATATAAAATATATAAAAAATTTAGTGCATTCGTAGCACTAAAATATCCTCGTCCAATTGATAAAATTTAGTGCATTCATAGCTCTAAAAATATCCTCGTCCAATCGGTATGACACTCAATAAAAGAAAATATATATTTACTATTCATAGAGTGTTAAAGATTGGATACATCACTTATTAAAGTAGTAAAAAAAAGTCATTCGGTTAATAACATTTATATTATTTTATTTATGATTGATGTTATACGAATTTTATTTATTTTTCACTCTAAATAAAGGAGTATCCTTGAAATATTTTCTCAATCAACTGGGCTAAACATATATTCTAAATTTTAAGAGTTTGTTTTTTTTATAGTCAATATAGATAATTTATTTATATTATACTTAAAATGATGTTATTTTGAAGTAAAAATCAATATATTTTTATAATTATAATTTATTTCAAGATTATAATAAGCTTTTCATTATAACTTTTTAATTTTTTAACGCAAAATGATATTTTTTTAGGAGTGAATGTATATAATTTTTCTACATTCATTATAGAAATATTAAAGCCAAATTTTAAATGCTAAAAATAAATAAGGAGATTATACTTACAATCTATTTTTGTTTATAATCTTTTATAATCATATCTTAACCATTGATTTTTGCCAAATAAAATTATTATTTTCAAAAATTAAACTCATTAATTAATTATTAATTCACAATAAATGATAATCGTGTATTGAAGAAAATCAATAGTTAAGATGTAATTGTAAATGTAAATAGGCTGTAACTTGTAAGTATAACCTTTCTCAAAACCAAAAAAGAAAGAGTTACTTATTTTAAGAATGGTTATTTTATAAAAGAGAAAGAAATAGATCACGTGAAAGTTAGAGAAAAAGAATCTCACTTTGTCTTTTTTTTTTACAAATCTACGTCATTTAAAAAAAGGATTTATTATTTTTATGTCATGTAAGAAAAAATTTATCTCCTATATACAAATTCAAGATGAATTTTACTCTCTTTTTTTTCCCTCTGAAAATAGACCTAATTTACATAAATAAGTCTAGGAAATAATAATTATCTCTTATTATATAAGAAAACTATTATCCTTGAAAAACATACACACTTGATCTCCCAGAAAAAAATGGTAATAAATGCGATGCTGCACAGGCATATCCCGATCAGCAGAAAAAACAAAGTCCCGGTCGTATGATATGGAGCAATTCGTTACACAAACAAAATTAAAGATAACAATGTCCCAGTCGTGTGATATGAAGCAATTCGTTACACATACAAAATCAGAACATACAAAACAAGCGATCCCACAATTTTACTATGAAAGATAAGACGCATCCCACGCTCCTGAAAATGGTACTGGGTCCAAAATCTTTTGCATGAGATATCTTTATTAATGGGCCAAATAAATCATAATAAGTGAACTTATATTATAGGATAAAATTATCTTACATTGAATAAGATAGTGTATCTCATGTTGTGAAATCAAATTAAGGTAAGATCCACTAAAAAAATAAAAAAATAAAGATGGACCCACCTTATTTTTTATTTTTTTTCACAACATGAGGTACATTATCTTATACAACATAAGATTAGTTTTACTCTATATTATATCCCAATTCAAAATCATTTATGAATTTTGCACATTTATATTATCCTCACTTGGTCTATATCTAATCAATATGAAATTCCATACCACTCAAACTAATATTTTCAATATCCTCCAATTAAGTATGAGATCCAGCATCATGCCTCCCTCAATGATAAATTTTATACAGAACTGTTCTCTTTGAATATTAGAGTCACGTCAACCTTTGTGGAAGCTTTTTCAAGTGTATTGTCATCTATGATGCACGGACACAGATATGAGACACGACACGCTCACACGTTAATTCTAAAAAATGTTATATTTCGACACATTGGGACACGTTTTGATATTAAATAAAAATTTTAATATATATAATATAATTTATATTTAATACATATAAGAGTTCATAATAAGTCATATAACCAATCAAATATTTAAATTTCATAACATAAATATAAATATAAATAATTTTTCGTACTTTGTTAATTTTTCATGTCAAATTTCATAGCAGAAAAAAATTAATTTATAAATTATTTTTTTTATATTTAGTTAACAAAATAAAATTAAGATTTAAAAAAAAATGTGTCAGAACGTGACTGAGAGTTGATCGCGTGTCGAAAAAAGTTGACCGCGTGCGTGTCCGTATCGAACACGTGTCCGACGCGCAAATTTTTCAAAAACTTGTCCGTGCTTGTTAGATTGCCATCTCCAAATTCTTGATATAGCCAAACAATAAATGGATTAATATTATATATCAATTCAAAACCATAAGGGAGCGTGGGGTACAGGAGAAATTTTTATTTGTCCGAGAATTTCGATTTTCAAAAATATGATTTTTACATTCAGTTTACGATAATATCTAAAAATTTAAAATTTTCAAAATTTCAATTTCTCGGGAATTCAGAAAAAATTCGTGTACCAAATAGCCTCTAAGACTATTAATGTATAGGTCTTTTGTATTTATATGATTCACACTTAATCATGACCAATATAAAATTTCACACCACTAATATTTTCAACAAAACCTTAATTCTCTTACTTTAGTTTCAATAGTCCCTCCCCCCGCCTTCCCAGTTATCTATTTTCTTTACGTTTCTTTTGTTTACGGTGCTTTGTAATTTTTTTTTTTTTAAAGAGGTGCTTTGTAATTGTAGCCTGAGCTTAGTGAGGTGCATGTTTTAACATAATTTGCTGTTCTCGTATTGATGCCTTACAAAATATACGTAATTTTGAGTTTTATTTATTAATTCTTTTATTCAATTTCACTTAATTTTAATTAATTTCATTTAGATTTTTACGAAAATAGTCTTATCTTTTTTAAGTTTTATTTGAGTCAATATCTATCACATATATATGACGTTGAAGTTTAGCGATAGGAATAAAAAAGGAATAGAGAAATTTAAGTTTAATCTGATTAAAATTTAGAGTAGATATTTTAAAGATATAAACTTGAGAAATTTTATTCAAAATTAAACAAAGTATCCAAATTCTAAAATTCATAGATATAATCAAGTAGTCATTATATTTTTTGAAAAGTTAAGGATTCTAATCAGTTCAATAACTATTGGGCTGGATTACCTACAGTTGAGCCTACAATGTTAGGTGTCCGAGCTTTGGCTAGGGTTGTTGCTGCAAGATATGCTTCTGTGAGATTGACGTCTTGATAGTGGGATGAGTTGCGAGATATCTGGGCTAATATGGATACTTGTAGTGATTTGAGGATATGGAGGATACATGCAAAGCACTCTAATGTTAAAGTCAATAACTCTTGAATAGATTCAAGTGTGGATGGTGTTAAGTGTCAGTCATATCATGTCTTTAAGGCCAAAAGTATACTAAATATCGATGACATGGTGTATATTATTAAATGCAAAAGACATTGGAATTTATCATGTTTGATATGATAGTAACTTAAAAGTAAATTGGTTTCAAGTTTAAATTATTATTATTGAGCATTCGAGCAATGGTTTAGATAGAAGGACTTAAATGAGGAGTAACCATTTAGTGAAAATCTTCTTGAAGCTGTCTTTTGGCCAATTTTTCGTATCGAATATGATGGATTTGGATCTTGAATTCTTCACATAAGTTGTATATCTCTCTTTTATCTTTCTGACGAGACC